TACTGATGTTGAGTGAACCTGACAAGTTGTTTAACACTTATGAGGGACATGTGCACTCTGTTCAGAGTTGATGCTAATGTATGTTTTGAGCACGTACTTCAAGAGAAGAATAAAATTTCCCTGTATATTCATGGTGAAAAGAAAGTGTAACCGGTTGCCTCATTAAGACTCCAACTGTGAGTCTTTTACTCATCTTGAAAAATGCCAAGAGAAATTCGGATTTCCCTGCCAGCCCCGTCACCAAAAGCTCCAGGAGAGGAAGTTGGGAAGAAGGTACCCGGGAACTTCTAGGATAAGGATGGGAAACCTCACACTGCAGAATTGGTAGAGGCATCTGTCACAGACTGGAAGATGCTCCTGAACTGTATTCATGGAAACGGTCTGTGTCCCAGGGACCATGCGTGAAAGTGAACATAAGAACAGTAGCAATGCATTCATGGCTTCATATGTGTCAGGAAATATGCATGTTTGATTTCCTCTGAGCCTTCACTCCAGCCCTGTGAAGTACATCTTGCAACCCATTGTTGAATAATGAACATGCCAGGACCAGTCAGGTCGCCTTCTCAGGACACTGCTGGGGGTTACACAGGCAAAAGGAGAGCCATGTAACACCAAGTGTGTTTAACCCTGTGTCACAGTCCCCTCAGTCTGCTTAACAACTCCCTCTTCAGTCATACTCATGAGTGAGAGGAAGGACACACTGACCCTGGCAGAGGGAAGGAATTGGCCACACTACCACTCACAATTACATAGCATTCTGTCATCTAACTGCCCACCCACTGAGAGTGATGTCATCATCTTTCCTACTCCCCACAACAACTCTGTGAGTTGGCAAAAAAAAAAAAAAGAACCCACAATTTTTTAAAGAATCAGTAGCTTAAAATAGGCAGGCTCACAGATATGAAAGGAGCTTCCCAAAGTCACCCAGAGGACAGACTGGGGATGGAAACTTAGGCAGAAACTTACCAACTCCAAGATGTGTCTCTTTCCACACCATCCCTCTTCACTGTGGGGATTCTGACAACAGATGGGTTCTCTGTTGACATGGGTGTGTGTAAGCTGTCAGCATGAGGAGAGTTGAAAGGCAACAGTCTCTGGAGCAGATGAGGTGTGTGCCATCAGCAATAGGCACTAACCGTTTGAAATGAACCATGCCTTCTACCTGGTAAGGCCCACTGAAAGCAAGAGTGATGGGCCTTACTGGTGGCCATTTGACACCATCGCCCCAAGGAGCTGGCTTTAGTCTGTGTGTAAGAGAAAGGGCATATCTGTCCGGGAAGAAATGGAAAGAAGGTGGGCAGGGACAGCAGTCACTGCCACGGTCACACTGATCTCTCAGAGACCTCTGTAAAGGGAGAAATGAGTCCCATCTCCAGAAAAGAAAGCAGATATTCCTTGACTGGAAAACTATACAGAACGATCGTGGGATGCAGGCTGCCCCCTCTCTCTGCCGCAGCTGCCTCCCAGCCACGGGAATGAAATTCCTTGTGGAGGGTCTTTCCCTGCTATTGCACCTGCTCCACACGCACTTTCGTCAGCTTCTCTCCACGGCTTTCACTCCTCCTGCTTTCTCAGATTTATAGATTTGATTTTGTACACATGGATGTTTTCCTGGCATGTACCTATGTTCATTACATGCCTGCCTGCCACAGAGGTCAAAAGTAGGCATCAGATCTCCTACAGCTGGAGTTACAGAGGGTTGTGAGCCATTATGTGGGCGCTGGTAACTGAACCCAGGTCGTCTGTAAAGGTAACAAGTGCTCTTACCCGCTGAGCCGCCTAACCAAGCACGTCATTCTAAGCTTCTTATAACTCCAAATAGAAGTGCGTAAGTCCATTTCATCCACTCCTCGCTTTCGTACAACTCTACTGACTTAGCTCCATGTAGCGGACAAGCAGTGTGACATGCTTGGAGATGGAAGGGGAGACAAGGCAGACAATGCTCTGCCCTTGTAAAAATGCTATAGTAGAACATACTTCTCCCATGAAGAATCAAATCATTGGTAATCTGGGCTTTTCAGGCTGTGTTTCAGTGATTCAGTGCTGCCATTCTTGCATGTAAGAGAAACTGAATGCAATACATACATCAATGGGTACAGCTGTGTGCAAATAAAACTTTATTTATAAAAACAGCCAATGGGCCAGATTTAGGAGTTCCCCACCACTTTCTAGGAGATGACTTAAAAAAGAAATAATTATGTTAATTACTGTAAACATTAATCATTCCACTGACCTAATCATTCCACTGCCACAGTAGAGGCTCTAGGGACACCAAAGCCAGATTAAGGAAGACTTCCAGAGAGAACTGGCATTCCAACGCAGCCTGGATAAAGCTTTCCACTGATAATGCTTTCTCTAACCATGTCCCTTGGGAGTGTCTTGCCTCTTTTTAAATCAGCAATCAAAGGCTCTCCCTTTGCTCATACAACAGGCACATCAGCATTTCCTTCCATCTGTCCATTCCAGATTCCTCTCAGCCTACAAGCAGGTTGGTGAAATCCGCTCAGAGAGAAAGCTGTGCCTACAGAGGTACATCATATGGAATGTAAGTCACACTTCAGAGACATAAATAGAGCCAGCAGCTGGACTCACAGGGGTCCTCAGGGACCACTGTACTGCCACGAAGTCAGCAGCTTCCAGAGGCTCAAAACGTCAACTTCATCTTTGTCTTTTAAAAAATTTCTCAGGCAAATTTCCAAGGAACATAAACTACAGCCAGAAGTACTATGTGCACAATAGGAAAGTATCAACAATGTGTGACAGATAAAAACACAATCTAATCTGTAAATACAGGAACTATTAGAATCAGATGCAATGTGCAAAATACTACATTTAATATTTTGAAGGCAGCAGATGATTGAGCATGGAGCAAATAAGCAGATCTTTAAAACTAAGGGGCTGAGGAGGTGGCTTAGAGGTGCTCTTCACACAAGCAGGACGGCTGGAGTCAGATCCCCTCCATTTGTGCACACAAACACACACACACAGAGGCCTACACAAGCGCATGCACACCCCACACAGATGTACGAAGAAAAGTAACATTCTAGCAATGGATTAATAATCAGGTAAGAATCAGTTGAACACATTCAAGAAGGAATTGCCTATTTTGGAGCTAGGCTAATTAGCAGGCTAATCCTCTAAAGAGAACTAGAGAATGGAAAAAGCCAGAGAAGGAATCAAGCGCTACAGCTAGAAAATGGCTCCGCGGTAAGAGCTCTCAGAGTTCCTTTCCCAGCACCCATGGCTAGTTGGCCATAATCACCTGTCACCTCCAGCTGCAAGGGGATCAGAGCTTCTGTGCTCTGAGGGCACTGCACGCACGCGCACACACAAATACATACAATTGAGAATACAATATGTTTAAGAGGACTCGAGTGTTAATGCGGACACACAGGAGCTGAAACACATGAAAGATGCAAAACATACAAAGGATGTGAGAAAGACCACACGAGAAAGAGGCACACTTCAAAAACATCAGGACGAGACTTGTCTAGAATTCCTGGGTGGGTGAACACAAAGTCAGGCTACTTCCAAGCAGTGAGTCCTTCCCTGCTTACTCTCCTTGGTCAGGTTAACAAGAGAGCAATTTCTACTGTTTTTACAGACCCATAGGCTGTGAAAGAGCGTGGTATTTACATGCTTTTATGCAATGTGTTTTCAAAAGCAAGGAGCATCATGAAAAGCATTCTGTCTTGTTTGCATTGTCCACATCCACCAAACTTCTGTATTATAGTAAAAAGAAAAGCTAAAAGGGGGGGGTGCATATTAGAATCTAGGAGTTGGGCCATGCTGGAATCCCTGGAAACTCAACAGCTGGTTACAGTGTTTGACAGTGAAACAATTCCATAAAAACATTTGTTAACAGACAAGCCGCATGGTAGAGTCAGCTATGCCAGAAAAGAAAGCTGATGAGAAGCATCTTCCCAGACCAAGAAATG